TCTGGCAGAACTCTCTGCAGGAAACTATGAATAGTGAGCTTTTTAAAGGAACAAATTATTGAGCAGTCAACATCTCTACCTGCTAGGCTGCTAAAATAAATATGACACAGCAGTGGAGAGATTTGCACAGATTTGAACTGAGCCTTCTCATGTTCTCGGCTCCCTCTATGCTCCCCAGCACACACTCAATCTTTGTCTGACTCTGATTTTCTGTTTAAGGATAATCACCTTTATTTGGCCAAGTATATTATACACAATGAATTTATTTCCGGTACAGAACCGAGGCAACCAACTGGGTCTGACCATCGGGGGCAACTTGGGGAATTTGTGTGTCCTCTTGATTGAGTTTTCAAATGTTACATGACTACACAAACAGGCCTACATAATGAAAGATATTGTGGCATTGGAATTTGATTAATACACCCCTGACCCGTATACGAGGACCTCATTTAAAATAGGAACACCAAGGCTGAACGCCAAATCTGGGTTCAAATGGACTCATCACAGTCATACTGATGCTAAAGCTGTTGCTCCCTTTCAAAGTTCAAAATGATGATATTTAGTTGCACTCTTACTTGCACACTAACTTAAAGTGATGAAAACTGCACAAGATATATCATCCCTGTGAGCTTTGTCAACGTCAGACCTGCAGCAGTACGAGTTAGCACATTTGAAGTGGTTTGACCTTTAATTATTACACCCCATTAGCCTAATCACTTTAATTTGTAATGAAGGTAGGATGTGTGCAGCATGTTTAATGACAACCAGATTCTCAGTATTGAAGTTTTACATTTTGGCCTTGAAATATAGCACCGCCCTCAGAAGAATGTGTAGTTTTTTTTTACATACTAGAATATATTAGAAACATGCCTCATCACTCCAGCTTTAATCACAGTCAAACCAGTCAGTGTGGGTATTTAATCACGAGGGACAAATATTTTTCTGTTTAAAGCCACCCATTCAAAATGTATGTATTAAAATGGGTGTAAGAACCTCTATGAGCGAGACAATATGAAGTGTTAAACAGTTAAGGAAATTACTAAAACAACAACAGTGCTCGACCCCAGCAGGGAGTTAACACCTTGTTTAAAAAAATAAG